GTAGGATTTCAGTAGGATTTCAAAACACAACCATTTTGTATTCTCACTCACTGTGTAGTGCATGTGCAAGGTATCGCCACTCTTGGATCGTGTAGCGCAGTTTTCTACCCTCTTCTTTACACCAATCTGCAGTTTCTTTGTGTTCTTTTTGTCCGCCGCCAGCACGTGACTCGCCATGGTTAGAAACGCTAAAGCCGCTACAGTTCCACAGAGTAGACGCATTTTACCTCACGCGAATAAACCAAAGAAATTTAAGAATTAAATGAGAGAAACTGAGACAAAAGATGCGATCAAAGGCCAAGAGTGTACGTGTAGCTCCCCAAAGCGCTTTGGTGGCCGTGTGGTAGACGTAGTGGTAGACTGGGTACTACCAACTTTATCATAGGGGGAGGAGTGGGAAGGGTGGGAGGGGAGTGAATCCTGAGACTTTGCTTTCGGAAGGGGCCCCCGAGACTTTGGGGTGGGAGAGGGGTACCTTGAAAGAGTTAGATGCCTTAGGTTTACACAAGATGCTGACAACAGAGAGCTTTAGATTCTTATAAGACGAGGATAACTACAAGAACGAGATTTTCCCAATTCTATAAAGTAGTAGTAAAGAAATATACATAGTCCAAAGATAATCTGAAGAATTTTCTGTTATGTATAAGATCCCATTCCAACCATTCAAAGTTTGCATCAAATCACATCCCCAATGGCAGAACAAGGCTCAGTGACTCCACTGACTCCAGTATAGCTAGTGTGTACAGACCCCCCCCACCCCGCTTCGCCTCAGAAAAAATCGGAAAAGGCCCCTTCTCCGATTTTTTCTGCAGTATAGCCTCCTCAGCGGACAACTCCTTTTGTGTCATCGCTTCAATCAGAGTGAGCGGGTTATTTTACATTATTATGGCCCTAACGAGCCACAATAACGGTAGGCTCGATTACCAGCCGCTGTTCGGTAAATGAACCCTACTATATTAATGGCGAAAGAGCTGTCGACGGGTACAACCCCGTTCTGTTTTGGGTTCTTTTGGTGATGTGTTGATGATGTCTTGCAAAGTTAGTTTTCACATAATACGATCAGCTTTGCAGAATACTGAATTCAGTATGTCTACTTTGTATATTTTTGCTGATCAGCTCTTCTTTAGATCCTAACATACGTTCTTCGACATATTCGATAGTTGTCCCTAGTGACTCCTTTTGTAACGGTTACGCTGACCGTGAGGAGTCTGAGAACGAGAAAAGGAGAAAACGAAGAGGAGTTACTATCCCTGTCACTCTCCAATCTTTCTCCATTCTCCCGCCTGTTCTTTAATACAAATATGATTTCCATACAGTACAATATTTCTGTCTAGTTTCAAATGTTATTGATCATCAAGCTTATTTTGGCGCTAACACCCTAGATCCAGAGTCCAACAGACCATTACAAAATTAGATTTAAAAAAATGGTATCCACAACTCGCACTGTTTTCCCTTGGTATTAAATCTATGTAATACTGTAACATTGTTTCTTATTTCCACTTATTTGTAATTAGAACTATTTCTTCTCTAACTTACTGATATCGGCATTATCTAGGGGGTCCACTGGCATGCTTTCCCTGGAAATTTGGAAATTTACAGCTTATGATATAACCATAACCATTCTATCAATACCAAGAAAATTTTGTCAAATTTTATCACCATTCTGATAGGTTTCTGCACAAGAACGAACATTTCACAAAGAAAATTGAGTTTACTTTTAACACAAAAAATCAAAGTACTTTTGTAAATCAAAAAAGAAAATTCCTGTTGAAATTATTCCTTATAGCCCAATCAACCCTACAGCTCTGCAGTTCCTGAAACATTAACTATTCTAGCCAATCAGTAAGCTCTCCAATTATGGCGAGTGAAGCAAGCCATGAGAGAATGTGTGAGCAAGAGGAGCAGACGCAAACACCACTTCCTTTCCCCGCCCCTTACACTTGCGTTTCCTTTCACATCCTTCTCTAGCATGACTTCTTGTGACTCCCTCAAATAGAGAGCAAGCTTGCAACTACACTCATGACTGCTGTGCAATGCAAATGACACAACTCCTCATAAGAGGCTATTCCTTGTACTGTATTATTAATATATTTTGGATGCCATCCACTACAACCCAAAAGAACGAAAAAAACATTGGACTGGCAATCCAATTTCTTTTGATATGGAGCCATCTTTTCCTTTGAGGTGAAGAGACATGTCCAACAGTCTGATGAGCTAAAATCATTGTTTCTTGACCTTCAGGAAGCCTGCAGTACTTGAGAAATACTTGGCATTCTCCACTTTCTGTTCTGCTGCTTGAGGGCTGACAATCTCCAATCCCTGCAGAGGGGTGAATGCCACGCTGGATGCTGTTCCTGAAACTCCTCGTCGCACTGTTGTCTGTCCTCCCAAACTCTGGGACTGCTGAAGACTCCGCTAATAACAAGAGACATTAATCTTATGTTATGAAGGAAGACCAAGCCGCATTGAAAATTGTAATACACTTCAGGGTTGTCCTCAAGATTTTGGCTATTTTATGAGACCGTCGCTCAGTAAGGGAAAAAAAAGAAGTAAATGCATGCACAAAATGATGAGTTCAATAACCAACATCAAGGTTATAAATTTATACTCATGCCAAATGCAGAGTGTAGAACGAGAAAAACGTCTGAGTTTGCTACTGTTTTCTTCTTGCTTAAATCTAGGGATGATACAATGGCAGTTTTTTAATTGTGTGTTTGTCGTGTTGCTGATCATTGCTCCCTTCTGCACACATTTTGAATCTGTCATTTTGTAATTTTTTTTTACGTCTATTCAAACATTGTCATTTTGTTTTTGTTTTTTTTGTTCCATTTTGTTTGTGCACTTATATAGAGTGCAATGCGCGCCTATTGTGTGGGCATTCACACACAATAATTGAAACTCCCTTAGGCGGACAACCCAAGGAAGTAAAAAAAAAGTGTCTGCAATACTGGAGTTGGCTGCTTGTGAAAATGACTTTTGTGAGGAGAGATCAAATAGGGCCTTGTTAAAGGAGCTGTGGAAGAGCCTCTATTAAGAGAGCTTTGAGAGTACTTACTTGCAGACGTTTGGAGATGGAAACCTGTGTCTTCTTGTCAACAGCAGGAGTTCGCACACGGCCCGTGTTCTCCTTCCTTCCCATCGTACCGACAGAGAAACCCAAGTCTGTCTGATACACATCTTCACCAATCTGCCCAAACTCCAGTCTGTTGGCCTGTCTCCTCATCTCTGTCACAGCAAATTTCTCTTTCATTTTACGTACCCTGCGGCCACCTCTCTTCTTACGAGGAGCATCATCGGGCCTTGGCAGTGCCTTAGCTTCCTTCAGTGGCGGAGGTTCCATCAACTTATCAAATTTGCCTTCAATATTCTCTCGGAGTTGCTGCCCCACAGATCCATCAGTATTTTCATGAAAGCTGTCTACTCTTGCTGCAAGTGAACATTTCGCTGCAACAATTCTTGCTGCTTTCTTTCTCAGATCAGCAGGCATATTCTGAAACATAGAGAAATACAAATTATTAATGTCCCTTCTGAAAATAGTATTAAAAGTTACTGTTTCTTCATGGCCATCTTAATAATATTCCTATCTGGAGGCTTCAATTTTCTGTTCTTACTGTCTTATAGCCCATGAATACAGACAGGGAGAGACATCTGCATGATTGTACACCTCAAAAACTCAGTGCTTAAGACTTAACTCATGTAATACTGAGGTTTGTATAATTAATTATATGATTAATCTGTTAGTCATGTGGTTCCAGATGTATATTTATTTTAGTTTCTGTTCCTCCTTGTTGATTGTCATAAGACTTTGAGTTTTGCTGTGATTTCGGGGCCAGCAATACTCAAATGCTTCTTTTAAAGCAACTATGTCCCTAGGAATTGAGTGTTTCTAGGTAAATTCAGCGTTTTAACTTTGTGACCTCATGTTTTTGGTCTGTCATGCCTAAACAATTGCTGAAAGGGTGCAACAAAACCACTACAAACAGTCCAAGCTCTTGACCAGATTCTGGATGAATTTATAAAGGCACTATGGAATTTTTGAGGTGCAGACATCTCTCTCGCAAAACATCCCCGTTGGAAGGGAGCAGCTCTATTCATAGGGTTTTTGTAGTGATGATACAAACAGACAGAAGGATGCTAACATTAAGCGACTTTCTCCTTTTAATGCTGAGTTTTGTTAGGATATCACGCATCTGATTAAACAGGAGTCAAGTCAAGACCAATACTTGAATGATGCACCTTCCTTTTCTTCATCCCAATGCATGCTCATATATTCCATGTGAACTTTGTAGTAAAGTCAAACCTCCTGTGAAGGGTTAGTGGGGTGAAGTGCAGACACATTTACTTTTGGAGAGAAAGTACTGTATGCAAATTTTAGGTTATAATATTATGTAAATCTATGTTGCTTATAAAAGTTTTTTTAATACTCTCGAGTAACACAACTATGTACAGCAAACTCACAGATCAGACATTGTAAGAGGTGGTCGCTTAGAAGAGATTAAGGAAAATGGAAATTCAAAAACAGTTTTGGATAGGTGGCTGCCTATGGCAGCTGGTCACTTACAAGGGGTGACCATACATGGAGGTTTGCCTATATATAGCCCACATAGCTGGCAGTTCTGTTGAAACAATGAAGGAAACTCATCCACCACAAAGAATTTAGAGGAATGAGAAAAAGGAGGAAAAGGAAATCAACGTGCAAAGAAAGTCGTGTCCGATGGCCCTAGGCTAGTGGATTTTGCTATCGGGCTAGTCTTTTTTGTTCTTGACTTGCCTGACAGGCAAGTGCTGTTTTTTGGGGAAATTCAAATTACAGAAGGATTGTTATCAATCCTGCCAATCAAAAAGGGTTTTGGGGCTAGTTGAAATGACTTGTGGGCTAGTACATGCTATCTACAGCTTGCCCAAATGGCAGGCTGTAAAACTGACTTTCCCCTGAGGAAATGTTTTCCTTTACTGCCCTCCTTCCTCCTCTCCCCACCCACTCCCCTTGCATGTAATGCTAGGTTTTAATAACTGTTATGTATGTATACAAACCTGTATAAAATCACTGAAATAAATATGCCCAGTATGAGGCAAGATTGCTGCACTAGAAAATCCTGACAAAGTTTTCTTTTGAGACCCCAATAGTAAGACATTGCAGGCCGGCATTTTTGACAAGCTTGTAAGCCCACCAGCTGAACCCATGAGCTTGGCAGCAGTTGATGCTCCAACAATAATTGATAGATTGGGTGCAATAAATGTCATTCTCGACTCGACATATTCAAATATATTAATCTTGGCCTCCAGTAAATCAGTGACAGTTTTACAGGCTTCCATGAGTCGCTCTACATCATCTTCTTCGAGCTTTTCACCTTGAGTCGTTGAAGCAGTAACACTCACCACCATTTTTGTTGCTGGAGGCAACACATCTGTCAAGTCCACCTTGATGGCTTCAAGGTCATTTCCTAGAAGTTCAACAGTGCGGATGTAATCCAATGGATGAGGAACAAGAGATTCTAACTCCGGGAAGCGTTTGCAGTAAATATCTCGGACATATTTATGAATGATGTTAACTTCATTGTCGATTTCCGCTGTCAAGTTGTTCGCTTCCACAATCAGCTGATATTCTGGGTCGACTTCCACTGGACCGAACACCTTATCGCGTGGTTGACTACTGAATTTTTCGATCCCAGAAAGAACGTCATTTAACTGCTTACTGTCTTTGAGCTTTGCAACGCTTTTAACAGACTTCGAATCCGAGTCTAAACTGTCTGTTGTCTCCATTGCTTCCTCAATTCCATCATCATGATCTCTGAAGTCCACATCACCCTCCTCCGCAGCTTCTTCTAAATCGGCCAAAAGTTCATCTGCGAGAGACATCTTGCTCTATTTCAATTATTGGCAACAGTTTTGAATTAGTTTTAGGAGAAATTGAGTTTTACAAACAAGCTTTTAATACAAACACTAAAACTGAACGTGGAGGCAACGCTAGAAGGAATGGTTACAAAGCATGTAACTACAGCGCATGAGATTTATAGAAGACGCGCCAGCGATCTTTGAAACTCAAACGCTTCTAAACGTTTCTTCTATAGTTGAGAGAGTGGACGTAGTTATCTTTCAAATATCAGGAAAAGAAAATGGCATCCTTGTAAGAAAAACCTCACTTTATTTTATCTGATTTTAATCGATCTCTTTTGCAAGTTATTTTGCAAATATGACACCGCGAAAGAGGATAATCTTGGCTTAAAGTTTCTAGTTGTCATACCTCAGCTTGCCGAGTAGTTTTTGTTCTATTTCAAAGTTTGCACTTTCTTTCCGCAGAATGAACAAGCCTAAGGGTGAGATGACACCAGAGGAACTCGCACAGAGAGAGCAAGAAGAGTTTAACACGGGTCCTCTGTCTGTTTTAACGCAATCTGTGAAGAATAACACTCAAGTTCTCATAAACTGTCGCAACAACAAAAAGTTGCTCGCCAGAGTGAAAGCGTTCGATAGACACTGCAACATGGTTCTTGAAAACGTGAAAGAAATGTGGACTGAAACTCCAAAGTCAGGAAAAGGGAAAAAGGCCAAACCTGTTAACAAGGACAGATATATTGCCAAGATGTTTCTCAGGGGCGACTCTGTTATCCTTGTTCTTAGAAACCCATTAGCGGCTACAGGAAAGTGAAGTTAAAAACTCTGGGATTGACATACTGTTCTCTCAATTGAAGAAAGTTTCATAGACTGACTGTCGCTGTTTACCATACATATACTAATAAGACGATGCCCACATATGGAGCTGCAATTTAGAGCTACTTTTCATTTCAGTGTGGGTTGACGAAACTGGTCATTTCGATACAAATACGTTTCAATTCAAGTCGTTTCGATACGAACATTAGCAGTGAAACTGTACATTCCTCATTTTATAAGCCAACAATACGAGACTATTTACACCTCAACTCAATCGACCTGCATCAAAACAACTTTGTATCAAAATGACTGGTAAGTGCGGGTTGGTAGTGGTTTTGTGCTAGAGCAAGTTTGCTTCCTATGAGCTTGTCCATCAAGCTTGATCAAGATCTGATATTGTAAAGAACAAAGGATAAGGTCAAACTTGTCAGGAGAGTTTCAAATAACTTGGGAAGCAAGCTCAGCATGGAACAAAACTACTGGCTTCCTGGTGAGATGATGCTTTATTGTATGGACACTTGACATTAAAACAACAGCTGTAGCTATGGATTTTGTAGTTAGTTCATATATAGGACATGTTACTCACACATTTGATGAGAATACCTTTGTACATGTATCACAGAACAGATGCAACAGAACTTGGAAATGTTGAAACTTTTAGCATGCATCCTCATATCAGAAATCTTGAGTTATAGTAGCTGTAGGTAAACAGTATTTTTTTTTTACTCGCCGTCCACTCACACCTTGAGATATTTAGGGCTCCACTTGAATTTCCTGTCATGAATGCCTGCTGATCTAGAGTATGAAGTCCTTGCAGAAATGCAGCTAATAAATTATAGCTCCTGATTAGCCTGCTTTGCAGATGTAATTAACCTTGGTTATGTCTGCAAAGCAGCACTGATATCCTTGTACTGGATGCCTTACAGACTCAACAAATTACCAGTATTGCATCCTAAGTTTTGATTAGCAAATCAACTGACAATGGCATTTTTAACAGGCCAATCATGGCGCGTACTCAAATCCAGGTACACATGTGAGGGCCCAGAACAAGGATTTTGGTGCTGTTTCACAGGACTTGACCAGAGTTTAGTTTTGTCTGTGGCACAGGTTAGCTACTGATTTGCCACAATCCTTTTAAATTCATGTTTCTAATTAAGCCCATTTTACAATTGTGAGATTAAGTGGTGTTCAACTCTTTACCAGATTGTTTGTGAGTCTTTTTTTTCTTATAATAAAATTAAGAGTAGCCTGATATTGATGTGTAAATATTTATATCTGCATCAGTAAACCCAAGCCTCGTTCAAAGCAAGGTGCTAACTACACATTCACAACTGTAGAATTGTCTTTTAAACACAAGCATTCTTTACTTGTTTGAATACATGTAATAAAGTGTTTGTTTTGCTTGTAACTGGGAGTTAATAGTTTTATGGCCGTATTTCATAATACTGTTAAGCATTGTTGTCATTCTCAAGTGGAAGGGAAGGCATTTTTCCTCTCCCTTATTCCCAGGGTTCTCTCTCTTCCTCCCTCAAAGGAGAAAGAGAGGTTTGTTTTTCCTGTCCCATTCTATCCAGTAATGGCATTCTATCATGTATGTCATTCTAATTTCTTCTTGTATCGTAAAGTTAGATATCAAAAATCTTCACTGAATTCAAGCTGGGTTGCTTACTGAATGCTGTAATTAATGTACAGCATTCCCCAGGCCTCATGTGGTCATGCACTCCAATGCATTTCTGTGTCGAAATTTGCTGGGACCACGTGCAGAGGTCAGGGAAAATCTGCACGGTTTGTACACAGGTAGCCTGCGCCACAGACAAAACTAAACCCCTCGTTCCATGTGGAATAATTAGGCCTATGGAATGGACAAACCTCACTGTAGAGTCACTGGATGACATGTATGATGTATTCCAGTAAGATTAAACTTCTCCACCACAAGCAAAAGAAATATGAACAAGTCTTTATCATAGGCAGAACATGTCATCATAATAAAAAGAACAACAATTATTCGTTTAGAAATTTTATTTCATTTGTATGCTATGCTTGCGCAGCAAAGCACCTAAGAGACCAACTTCGTTCCCAGCTCCTCTCTGTTACGAGCAAACGAGGCTGGAGAGAACTGGTTTCCAAGAAAGGTGTGCATGCAATAAAGTATCAAAATATAAAAATTATGACATATTAAATTACAGATATACAGAGCTAAAAAAATTAACTTAAATAGTACCCTGGAGACCAAGATCGCACAAACATTTCTTTAAAATCATTTTGCTATTATCATGTTGGGAGAAAATTCCACAGCTTAGCACCGCGATAAGAAAGGCTCTTTTTTAAGTATTCGGTGTTGGGTTTTTGAAGTGCCAAATTAAAGCTAGAATCTCTGGAGTTGTGAGCCCTCAGTGTAAGCCGTAATATCAGGAACTACGGTTAAATACCTCAGTAACGTACTCAGCATTTTTTTTCCCGCAAGTCCGATCGAGAGAGTTTCTGAAATTTTTGTGCTCATTTTAAAGGCATCTTATTATGTAATATATCAAGCATGAGACGCAGTGTTTCATCACCAGATGAAACACCGAGAATAGAGTTGAAAATACGACGCGCAGCGGAGTATTTTTGACAAACTTCGAGATGTTTCATCTGGTGATGAAATAGTGTGTCGAATGCTTGATATTACTTTTCAAACAAAATGATTTTAGAAGGAGAAATTAAGGATGCAAAACTGAGCAGTTTTTCATCTGATTTCCAAACACTCACTAAACATCAATTTCCTTTGACTTTCTCTACGAATTATTAATGAGTTTGAGAGAAACGCTCGACGACTGGCTCAGTTTCTGCAGTTTATAAGTTCCTCAAAATGAGTGATTCAAACACGTTCTATCCGTGCTGCTTTAGACGGAAAGAACGTCTAAAGATCGTCTCCGGGCAAACGTCGATCTTCACATGCGACGAACTACACTCTTTTTTTTCTATAAGAATAAATTTTATTAGAATATCGAGGCTGAAATTTGCGTAATTTTAAGAATATTTTAAGAATAAACCCCAGGCTGAGGTTTTCAGAAAAGGATATAATTTTGTGTGTCCAAAAACTGTATACAATACAATGATATGTTTTCAACTTATTCCATTCTCTGAACGGCAAAACTTGCCAACAAGGCGAAAAAACCTGCACTAACTATACTTGATACCCCAATATATCCTAAAACGGAAATGTCATAAGCTATAATTTAAGAATAATACAAGAATATTTTCAGCCTAAAATCGGCAGAAAAATAAGAATATTCAGCCTGGGCCGGAAAAACAA